TAAACCCATTCCGTGGGTGATGAAGAGTTTGTGTCACCAGCACTCAGAATGGTAGGGCAAATGCCTTGGAGGCTTCAATCAAAGTTGATGCCAGGATTGCGGTCTTCTAATTTTAAGGGTCCATGTTTTTAAGGGCCAGCACTGCAACTACCATGGCCTCCTCTGAAATGCCTTGCTATATCAGGGTGCGGTGCTGGCTTGGTTATGGTAGCTGAGCTGCCTTTTATTCCCACCCCCACCCCAAAAAAGGGTGCAGAGCTGAGACCTCCACCAAGCTAGGAGGCTATAGCACACATTTCCTCTGCTGCCAGCCACCCCATCACAGAGCAAGCTCATGGACGTGGGGAGCTGCCTAGCAGAAGGGTACTGTGTTGGAGAGAGCAGCTTGCCTGAGACCCCCTCAAACCTGCCCTGTAGGGATTATCATCATTGTAGTCATGGACCAAAATTTCTGAAGGCTCTCACAGTGCTCTCGCTGCTTGCACACTTCAGCAGCTTATATAGTGCAGGGAGCTGTGATGTCAGTATCTGGTAGGATGTGCAGTGGGCTGATGTGATGTGATGTTTTCTTGTCCCTATGTGCAGATTAACTCAGTCTATACATTGTTAACATGGGCAAGCATAGTCTTCTCGGTGATTTGCGTGTGCCGATGGTATTGCCATGGATACTCAGGAAGCAGCTGTTAGGGCTGCTACACTCTCTTGTTTTGTGTTTCTGTCATTTTCTTCTCCTCCGCTTTCCTGCTCAGTGAAAGCCAGCCATCACCATGGCAGAACTCGAAAGCTGCCTGTCTAGTCCTACTGGACTGGCATAAATCATAGTACTCCGGTTTAAAGGGGCTATATAGCTGGCAATTGTATAATTAGACCAAAGAATTAGCAGTGTTTACAAGTAATCATTGCTGGTTGTTCGATGAATGCCTGCCAGTGTGCTTAAGAAATTGCTGGGGCTAATAGAAAAAGTGATATTTGTTCTGTTTAGAAGCCAGAAAATGGCAACTCAGACCAACAACATATATTTAAATTCAGCCTGAGAGAGTTGGCTGTTATTGGCTGAACACAGACCCCATGGTGTTTGCAAGCAACCACTCCCACAATCAGATCTGCATTGCAGTCATGGAAGGAAAACTATCTATTTTTTTTTCTTCTACCTTGCTCATCAGGGGTTCTAAGAAGCAAGTCAGAAAGGACACATTCACATCTCTCTAGTTTTGATCTTCAGAGCAAATAATTTAAAAATTAAATATGCATCAAATAATGCAGCTATGTCTCATTAAAATTCTCAAATTAATAATCACAGGAAACCTTACATTCACATTGCAGATTTATTCATCAAACAAAGGGACTTCAAAGGGAGTGACTGTAGAATTAGAAGTCAAGATCACAAAGAGCAACAAACTGAATTAGTTATCCTTAAATAAAATATGGAAACATCTCAACTCCTTCCATTCCCTGTCTCCTCTGGCCGAACATAAATGGGTATATTATGGTCCAGTCCTAAAATTTCTTCCGTCTTTAACTGAGTGCACAGGATGGGTTGAACCAAATCACAACGGCAAAACAAACAAAACAGAAAACAAAATAATCACACTATCCTGCATACTGATGTTGTGGTTATGTTTTGACAGCTCAAATATTTGGAATTTAATGCCTTGTCTCCTTGCCTTCACATACATATATCTGAAAATTAAAAAACAGTTATGAGAAGAGAGAAGCAATCTCATTTATATTTGCTAATCTTGCATATTATTGAAGAATTACAAGCAACCACACCAGGTTTTTTGCAGCCACACATGTCATGTGTGAAATTACTGCAATGTACCTGCACGTGCAACAATCATTTATTAGTTTGCTTTTTAAGATATTCACATACTGCCCTTCACTATATTTACAAACAAGATAAAATAAAAACTACATAATAAACAAAAGCATTAACATCATTCTCACAAGTTGCATAAACAGCATAACTTAAAAACACTGTTGAAATGGCTTAACCCATTAGCCACTAAAAACCTGGTGGAAAAGGTGGGTTTTCAACAGGCATATGAAAGAACAGAGTTGTGGGAAGGTAATTCCAAAGATGCGAAACCACCACTGAAAAAGACCTTCCACAGGTCGCTGCACTCGGCAGGCCATTAATACAAGAATCACTAGGAAAGTCTCTTCCACTGATTTTAGTATGTGGGCAGATAGATATAGGAGAAAGTGTTTTCTCAGATATTTGGGATCCAGTCCATTCAGAGCTTTAGATATCAACTTGATGTTAGGATATTTCCGTTCCACCTTAAAAGGGAGCAGGATGTTTGTGTCACAGCCTGCGTATTTCCTGTTCACAGGATGTTTCTGTTGTGTCTATGCTTTCGTTTTCTCTCTCGGTGCCTGAACACTGAAGCAGGCGGTCATGTTTTTCTTTGTTCTGACCAAGCTGAATAAACTTAAATAATGCTCTCCTGCGTGCATCTTTCGCTGTGCATTATCTGCTGATAAGAGCGTGCATCAGCTCTGGAATGTGGCAAGCTATTTCTGGAGCTCGTGTCGCTAATTGCTGATACTGCGTGTCTACGGGAGATCGATGGACGTCTGGAATCGACGTGGGGCCATGATGGACTTTGTCTCCCTGGCAGTATCCCAACACTTAAGTCCTTCAGTTAGGCCCAGAAGATAGCTGGCAACCAGTTGCTTCTGTCTGAGAATGGGTGTTATATACACAACAACCCCGCTACTCATATCAATATTCTCACCACCGCATTCTGCATTAGTTGCAAATTCTGGAGAGCCTTCAAGAGTTGGAAGACCCATATAAAGTGTATTATAAAAGTCCATCCTGGAGGTTATCAAGGTTTGGATAACTGTAGTCAGGCTATTCCTGCCCAGAAAAAGCTGTAGCTGATGGACCAACCTAAGCAGCTGCTGAGGTTGCCTTAGCTTCAGGTGACAATGATAGCTCTAGATTGAACTCACAAACCACACCCTTGCTCTTCAGTAAGTGCAATACCATCCAGAACATGTTGTCTGACCAAATCCCAGACATGGTAACCCCCAAAGCACAGAGCTTCTATCTTGCTTGGATTCAACTTCAATTTCTTGATCCACATCCAGTTCAATATCACTTCCAGGCACCAATGCAGGACCTTCACTTTGGCAGGGTTGGTGAGCAACCCCAAGTAGGGGCAGCAGCCCCTACCATATTTATACATGTGTTTTATATGCCAACTACATCCTTAGTCCATTGCTTTCAGAGATTGCTGCCAATGAAAGTTTGTGCGCAAAAGGCTGTTGTTTTTGCAAAGAAGGAAGCTCCACCCAAATCATTTTTTTAAATTATCATATTTGCATACTGTCCTTTATCTGAAGATCACAGGGTGGGTTCACCACATAAAAATACGTTGAACTGGGCTAGATGAAACACATTTGAGCCCCCCCCTTTTTTCTTTTTTCTTTTTGCTTTTGCCATTTTTGCCACGTCAGTACAGATGAGAATTCAAATGGAATTGTTAATGTGCATGAAAGCCAATGCAGATTTAGATGGAGGTTCCACTCACAATGTTTGACCAGGGCCATCTTACCCATAGGAACTAGGGGTGCGGGGCACCCAGTCGCCGGGCTCTCAGGGGCGCCAGGTCAAGAGTCCGGGGCCCGAAAGTTGAGTCCGGGGAAGACCCTGCCTGTCGGTTGGGCTCTCCTGCTGCAGGCGGCTCTGCGCCACGAGTTCGGGGACAACCAAGCCAGTGAGATGCTGAGGCGGCTGGCCAGCTCCACCTTCCTGCATGCCTGGGACTGGGCAACCAGGATGGTGGCGCACCAGGCGGATTTTTGCACCCCAGCACTGCATATGCTTAAGACAGCCCTGGGTGTCACAACACTTTTGGGACAACCATGCTTATTTAGCTATAGGATTCAAAGTGTTTGTGTTCCTACCTCTCCACTCTAACAACCCTTAGGAGAATTAGATCAAAGCTACAAAGTATTAAGCATGGAGATGGGGGGAAATTTATCTATTTTGAGAGAATATGAGTTGGATGATACATTTTAACGCCATGTAATTTTGTACATGGGCATAGCCAGAATTTTTGTTTGCGGGGGGCAGGCTATTGTTAAGGGAGACAGAAGCTCAGATTTGTATTGATTTAGGGGAGGCAGCTGCACCCCCACAGCTACGCCCATGATTTTGTACACCTCGAAATTGTGTTTTTTGGTATAAAGTTTACAGGTTTCTAGTCCAGACAGCATTGCAGAGGAACCGGCCAGGCCCAGCGACTCAGGAGGGCCCCGGCCAGCTGAAGCACCCCAAGGAGATGGCAGCATTTCTTGGGTGGTGGGAGACCCTCCTCCGCGCTGCAACCGCATGCGTTCTCTTCAAGACAACTCCGGGGCAAAAGCGGCGCAACAAAGCATCTGCTGCTGCTCGCGTGCCCACGAAAAACAGGCAAGTTAGCGGCTGCAAGTAAACAGCTGCCGCTGCTTCGAATCGTTACTCTGGGAGGCGCCATGGCTGGGTCTCCAATGCAGCCCAGAACAGCGCGGGGGGAAATGGAAGCGGCGGTGGCGGCCTCTCACTCAGCTGCGCTTATTATATTATTATAGTGTTCTCGAAGCTACCAACATGAGTTTGACCAAACTGCGGGAGGCAGTAGAAGACAGGAGTGCCTGGCGTGCTCTGGCCCATGGGGTCACGACGAGTCGGACACGACTAAACAACTACAACCATTATATTATGATGTTATATGTGGGGAGCTATCAGGGCCGCACGAAGCGGCAGCTCCAACTCGGTTGAGCAACCTTCCTCCTCTCTTTTAAATTGTATTAATAAAGGTGTGTGGGTTTTTTGTGTGTTACAAAAGCGCATCCATCGCCTCTATTTTCAGACCTTTCTACAGATCAATTATATATTCGAAGTGGGTGGCCTTAAGGCAGCGTCCCCGTCGCCGCTTCAGACGTTGTTGAACTACAACTCCCATCATCCCTGGCCGCTGGGCCAAAATCTGGCGGAATGGGCGAGTTCAACAACAACTGGCGCCCCCACCGCGGGGCTCCTGAGTCCCTGAGGTAAAGAGGCAAGAGAGGCTATGCGGGTGCGCGCGCGCACCCCGGCCTGCCTACGCGCGCTTTCCATCGCAGCCACGTCAGCTGTCATGCCCCCTCCCCCACACACGTCAGCCCTCCGTTTTTCACTGGCCGTCGCCGCGCGCGCGATCCCGTCCCGCGTGCCAGCGCGCTCTTTGTCTTGGCCGCGGCGGCGCCGTTGGGGAGGACTGGGCTGAGGCAAAGGGAAGGTGGGTGGTGGTGATAGGGCTGGTGAGGACCTTCCCTCCCACCCACAACCCGGAATCGGCCCTCACTCGTGGTCAGGCACGAGCACGAAACACGGCTTTTCGCCCCCCCCCCCCGCGTCTCGAGCGCCCTCATTAAACGCTCCGCGCTCGTGCACGCGCGCCCGCCTCCCCTCCTACTCCCGCTAAACGCCCGTTTATTTGCTGTTCTCCCTCCCTCCCCCGCGAGCCCGCCTTCCTCTCACGTGCCCGCTTTTCCTCTGACCCGCCCCGCCCACCCTCTTCCTCTCGGCTCCATATTGAGGCTGAAGGAGGCTAAATCCAGTCACAAAATGGAGGTAACGTTTGTCGGCGCCGCCGCCGCGCGGGAAGGCAGGCAGGGAGAGGGTCCTGCAACGGCGGTTGCGGAGCGGGCGTGAGAGTGGGTGGGTGGGGGTTGCAGAGGAGCGGGCGCGTGGCGCGGCGCATGAGGGGCTCGCGGGAGGGAGAGTGATTGGCTGGCTCGGCTCCTAGCCTTCTCCCCATCCACCCCACCCCCCTTCCAACCACCTCGGTTCTTGCTTTATCCAGCTGCAAACAGCTAATTATCCGAAATGGCGCGAGAGGGCGGCGGCGGCGGCAGTTGGGCGGGAGAGGCTTCTGTTGGGCGCCATTGTAACCCTGTGGAGAAAGAGGCTCGAGTTTGAGCGAGAGTAGTCGCAGGAGGCCCTTTCCTAAGTTGAAACCCAAACCAAAATCCTTCCTTCAACTCTGTCTTAGGCTTGAATATATATATATATATATATATACGCAAATTACAACCCGTGACTTGATCCAAGTGCCTATCACTCGATGGTCTCGCCGGTTCTCATTCGACTTCCCGAGCCACTTGTGCAGCTTTCGCCTTTTTAAAGTTTAAAAGGATAACCTTTCGAGTAAAATCCCACTGACTTGAGCGCGACGACGAAACACATCCTGAGAACCTGGCTCAGGACACCCCCCCAAAAAAAAAATGTATTAGAATTTGCTATATCTTTTAGCTGCATAACCTGTGTGGTTTTTTTTTTTAATGAAAATAAAATAGTTAACAAAAAAAAGCACCCAGTTCCTCCACAGCAGCAGAACAGCTAAGACTAACTGCCTCCCATAAATCAATTATTCGGGTGCTTTCAGTTCTAATAATATTATGGGATATCTTGCACTTGTCCACGTGGCCCAATTGTGCTTGAGATGAAAAACACGTTCTCTCCCCCCCCCCCCAAATAGTTCTGAATAACTGGTGGTTTGACGTTGATTTTGAATTGTAGCTGTTCCTAATTCTGTCTGTCTTGCTGAGTATTTTGGTGGCTGTTACTAAAGCCAGTGACTGGAGTTTTCTGGTTCATGCAAACAACCAGGCCTTCAAATGCCTCTTTAATAACATTATCTAGCTAATTATCTTTCTCTGGCAGTATGGTCAAAAGCCTGGCAGCTGAATTCTGAACGAAAGTAATGGATTCAACACCCCATTGAGTGATTACAGTTTTGTAGATGAGTCCCCTTTATAAATTCATTCTATCCTATGCTTTTGATAGAATTACTTGCGAGAAAGCTCCATAAGGTTCCAATTTAATTTTTATTATATCCATTCTGTAGCCAAAAAATCAACATAAGGATGTGAATAAAATATCTTTTTAAGATTGGATCTGAGAAGACTTTCCAGACCTTGAAATCTTAAATTAGATTTAATTAAAACTGAACCTGATTGTGTAGCTTCAATGAAAGTCCTCCTCAAACCAATGCTGAACTAAAGTATAACAAGTATTTTTGTATGATGACATGCCAAATAATATATTGCAAGTCTGGAGACAACTATCCATGATTAAAACCTGTACACATGTAGACTTGAAATGTCAAACACATGTTGCTTCAAAAAATATAACAATGTTGTGCTCTACATTGCATTCTGGTTTTTGTTTTTTAAAATTTCTAGCTGACATACAGATTTTATCTGTTATTCTATTAAGCTGCAGAAACACTTGATCAGGCATCCCCAACCTTTGGTCCTCCAGATATTTTGGACTACAATTCCCATCATCCCTGACCACTGGTCCTGTTAGCTAGGAATCATGGGAGTTGTAGGCCAAAACATCTGGAGGGCCGCAGGTTGGGGATGCCTGCACTTGATGGTATAACACTTGCTGTTTTGTACATGAAAATTATAAATAACCTTCTGAAACATCTAAGTATTATTTATGTGATTTAGCAGTCTTGCCTAATCCTGTTTACCCGTAGCAGGAAAAGGGCTTTGTATTGCACCTGTAACAAGAACTATATGCTGTTCATGATACTAATGTTCTCCTTGGCCTTCTTGCTGAAACGAGCTATGCAGGGTGTATTGGGGCTTGCTTTTTTGCACTGTTTCAGGGTTTGCATTCTCTCTATAGCTTTGCTTATCTAAGCTGAGTGTTAGGGACCTGGGTCATAGAATTGTAGAGTTGGAAGGGACCCCAAGTGTGAGGTGTTGAACCCCTTCAGTAGAAGCTACTGTCTGTCTTGAACAGTTACAGTGCATTTCAAAGTCCGGCTTTCTTTCAATATGAAAGTCGCTTCAGCATAGGGGAATAGCCAGGGCCACAAAAGTATTTCATATTCCTTCAACATTTCTCTGATGAAAATAAGGGACACCCTATTCCATAATATTATTATTAATAATGCTATTATTTATACCTTACCCATCTGACTGCGTTGTCCCAGCCGCTCTGGGTGGCTTCCAACGTATATAAAAACATAATAAAACATTAAACATTTTTTTTAAAAAAACTTCCTTATACAGGGCTGCCTTCAGATGTCTTCTAAATTACTTATCTCCTTGCATAAATCCATACCCTCCAACATTTCTCCCATGAAAATAGAGACATCCTAAGGAAAAGCACAACATTCCAGGATCAAATCAAAAACCGAAACGGCTTCTTTAAATACGGGACTGTCCCTGGAAAACAGGGACACTTGGAAGGTCTAATTTCGGAGCTTGGTTGTGAGGGAAAGCCTTATTGGGCCTCTTCTATGAATCCACTTCAGTGACATGCTTTATCACTCAGGAGATATTGGGTGACAGCTATTTACTTAATTGCTTGGAAAAACCCAGCCAAACAGGGGTGTCTCGAGTTTGCCATCTTGTTCATTTCCTGCCTCTAGATTTACAGTTTAGCAACATTTGAACTTTCCGGGTTTTAAGTGTCCGAAGAATAAGGGACCCATTTCAACCCCATGAAGTGCAACAGCTGGGGCCATCTCCTCCCTACATCCAATCTCCTTCCCCTCACTTCTCCCTTCACATAAGGCCAACAACAGAGGCTGTATATTTGAACTCCACGGTGTGCGGTCTCTCAAGCCCAGTCATTGACATGTAGCAAACTATCCTAGTAAAAGCTCTGATCAAATTCAGAGACCTCTCCTCGCTTTCCTCCTTTTCCTGCCAAATTTCTTTAGATGGACAGGAATTCTATATGATAGAAACACAACTCTCTTAACGGAAAATGTCATCACTTAGGTATACGAGAGAGTGCCTGAGATGTGTCTGTAAACCCGAGGCTGCTGTCTGTTCCAGATTGTGGCAACTTTTAAATCTGTCAGCACAACATGAATTCCATATTAAGCTGCTTCCCGGTGCTTTAGCCAGGAAGTAAAGAGGGGCGCATACTGTAACATTTATGGGCGGACTGGTGCTAGGTCAACCATGACATCATTCTCCACTCTGCTGAGCCTGTAATGAGGTGAAAAGGCGGCTTTGAAACAACATAGCACTTTATTTATTAGGATATTTTAAGTGTGCTTGTATTTCAATTTATGATAACCCCACCACTTCCCACCGTCAAACAAATACTGTGGATTATAGCTCTCCTGCAGAGCAAAGCAAAAAAGAGTTGAGGGCTAAGGCCTCTTTTTGGCTGGCGAAAGATTTAATAGGCGGGCCCCGGTGGGAGATTTCTCCTGCCGAGAGGAAAACCCTGTCGTGGCAGCCCAGCCGGTGAGGAAAAAGTCGTGCAAACGTTTGTTGTGTTGCAGGTAAACTTAAAAATGCAAGCTTAAACATGGAAGCGTAATGCTGGTGGACAACAAAAGAGGTTTAAAGACCCTCTCAAGGCAAATCTTTAAAAATGTAGTATAAACACCGACAAACTGGGAAACACAGGCCTGCGAGCGCTCCAGTTTTAGAATAGCCTGACACGGGTGACGCTATGGGTTTAAACCTCGCTCACACCGTCCGAATCTCCTTCGTGACCCACCATGGACACAGAAGCCACGCCAGGCACACCCCTGTCTTCCACCCGCCTCCCGCAGTTTGGTTTAGACTCATGTTTGTAGCTCTCGAGAACACTATCCAACCATCTCATCCATCTGTTCGTCCCCTTCTCCCTTGTGCCCTCCATCTTTCCCACTTCAGGGTCTTTTCCAGGGAGTCTACTCTCTTCTCACATGAGTGTGGCCAAACCACGATAAGCTATCTCGGCAGTCCACTTCAACTTCAACAAAGAATCTCTGTCCCTTCCAAGTTGAAGCACCACTACAGGTACGTCTGCATGATATTCCTTAAGAATGGATGCGTTTTGATCTTCTTGCAGTCCATGGGACTCTCAAGAGTCTCCTCCAGCACCATAATTCAAAAGCATCAATTCTTCGGCGATCAGCCTTCTTATGGTCCAGCTCTCACTTCCATACATCACTTTTAATTTTCAATTTTAGAATAGCCTTTACCAAAGGTGTCATGGACTTTGAAGACGCTCAAACTCAGGACAAAAAGGGAGAAACGTGCCAAGAGGAAGGCATGTTGGCAACCCTCACCATGATCAATTTGCACCCGGAAACTTATGTCCCCACTGTGGAAGGACGTGTGGATCCAGAATTGGCCTCCTCAGTCAACTTACGGACTCACTGTTAAAACTGTGTTTATGGAAGACAATCTTACTTGGCTACAAGTGATCGCCTAAGAAGAATAATCTATAAATCATAGACGCTAATTCGATAATTTTTATCGTATTTATTTATTTGAACTTTTCTTATTGTTTCTCCCAGTCATGGGAAGGGGCAGAAAATTACTTGGAGGCTGGAATGAAATGGACAAGGGCCAGCAGACTTGAAGTGGGTAGAAATTATATTCTGACCTAATTTCTGCTACCATGGCAGAATGTCAAATAAGAAGCTGTAAGCGAACTCCAACTTTGCCTCAATGAATTAAAGGTCACCCACAATAGCACAGCCCTGTGGGTGGGTGTATTTAAGTAAGTCCCATCAAGTTCAATGGGGTTCACTCCCAAAGTAACTGCATGAGTTTGCAGGCTGAATGTGGCTTTTAAAAAACAGCAAGCAAATGGCATTTCAGCAGAGATGAACCCTGTCTTTTTACATAAATTAAAAGCTTCTGACTGAAGGTTGCCATCACCCACAAGCACATATGACTTTGAACAAAGCATGACACTTTCCCCCAAGACTCCTGTGGGGATTCATGTTAATTAGCAATGAAGGTTAGATATAACAACAATGGAGAGAGAAAGATGGAAAAGCAAGAGATGCTCCATTCTTCCTATCAGGGTTTGTCAACCATGGATTACAAATGAGGAGGCCATATATAACCACTAGATAACCATCAGCTGAAAGGAAGGAAGCGTTTAGAGATACAGCATTCCTCTTACTGGGTGGGTCTTCTTTAAACCTTGCACCCTGTATTTTAATTTACCTTCTTTTAAAATCACAGTTTGACAGAAACTCAAAGACAGGGTAGAAGATGTTGATACTTACACTTCTAAGTTCGCAGTTGTTGAAATCTCTCCTGATAAAGATCAGACAGGCGGAAAGGCTGGCCTAAATGCTGAGTGGCTGTGATGAAATAGAATACATATTTAAAATACTCTGTGAAATGGAAATAACTACTGTGGAAAACAGCATACACATTTTGATTTTCAGAGCTACAGAGAGAGGGGGGGGAGAGAGAGAGAGAGAGCTTTTCTTTTATGTGAGTGCAGAAATCCTTGAGCACATATACCAAGGTTTCTTTAGATCTCATTCTGGTTACCCTCTAATGCAGTGTACTTCAACCTTGGGTCCCCAAATATTGTTGGACTACAACTACCATTACCCCCATGGTCAGGGATGATGGGAGTTGTAGTCCAACAACATCTGGAAACCTGAGGTTGAAGAGCACTAGTAATACATCAGCATTATTTAACATTACACATTATGTTTTGAACCAGCAAATAATTGACCTTTTTTAAAAAAAAATTAAAAATAAACTACTTCTCTAACCTAAAGGGTGATTAATTCATGAGGGGAACATATACCTTTTAGAAAGTATTCACCCAACTCAGTGCTGCTAAGAAAGAAAGAAAAATTAAAAGAGAAAAAACT